CTTAATCAGTTGATTAGATTCCTGATTTTCATGTATTAACCCAGTTTATGTCATTAGTAAAGTTATTCAAACTCTCTTAGAAACTTTTTATAGCTTTAAGAAATCTCTTGAGCTAACAGCTACATAATTTCAACACGGAGCATAAGAAAATCTGTTTCATTCACTACCAGGATGACGACTCCCCTGTTGAAAACTCCTAGGTCCAGCTGGCCTGACTCAGGCCTCTAGGTACCCCAGTCACCTGCGATTTTCCTGTATCTGTGAAATAAGAACCTTCTCTAAACTCTAACAGAAACACTGTCTCCCTCAGTAGTTCAGCCTGTTCTTATAGGGACACCATTAAATTTCCTTTGACGAAGCGATCAAAGAGTCCTAGTTAGATTCACTAGTTCTAAGAGCTATGCCTTTGACCTCTGTGTCCTCATGAATAGAAGAACAGGATCAGGACTGAGTTCCTAGAAGCCACCCAGAAATGCTTATCCATTGACCAAAAGCCAGAAAGATTGCATGAAGATGTCCACAGCCCCCATGCAAGCCAGCTCTTAGGGTGCTGGAACCCAGGCCTCTGCAAACTGATCACCATCCACACCTACAGAAGCCACACCATGATCAGGCCTGCTGGAAAGCGGCACGTGTTGTAGCAGTCAGAGCGTTCAGCACCAGGAGGACCTGGCCAGCTCCTCTGAACTTCATTTCTTCACAACTCAATGCCCATCTCTCACACCCCTGTTACCTGAAAAAGCATAGAAATGCTTCACTTTTGGTGGGCCCCTTGCATACATTTTTGAAAGGACAAAAGGATTTAATTCAGTCATCTTCCCACAGTGCTTAATTAATATGAAACTAAGACCCCAGATGGGCATCTTTAGTATGTGGTAAATTAAAAACCACTCAAATATGAGGAACTCAAAGATCCTTGCTCCAAAGGTTGAGTCAATAATCCAAACCACTGCCCAATTAGAGGCCAGGGAGTTGGGGATAAATCCAAACTAGCCCCAGTAGTTCTTATTTGCTCTACTAAAGACTGTAGAAAGGAATTTTATTGGCTGTGCCTCATAAAATAGTAGATACTCCATCCTTAGAAGTATTTGCAATTGGTTTTGGATCAAATGCTCCAGGGCTTGGACCAGACACCATGGCTGGCCTGTTTCCTTTTTTGCAATAGCAATGACAGATTGCCACATTTAAACCCTTATAAAGTTCTTTAAAGTTTTAACAAAATACACTGCAACTCAAAGCTTACCCAGATTAGTGAATATGTCTGAAGACTATAGAAATGTAAGGTTACAAATGAGTTGAAAACTAAAGAGTCCATTGGAATCTGCAGTTGTTTCATGATTCTCTACCAAAGTAAACAAATCTACTTGGTGTTTGGGTATATATTAAAATAGCTAGTATCCAGACAATATCAAGAACAATTATTCTTCAAACCTAGGGCATGTAAACAGCCTTGCTTATTTCTGCCTCAGGGCCTTTGTACTTGCCATCTCCATCTGCACAGTTCTACATCCAGATATTTACAAAGCTTGCTTCCTCTTTCTCCAAATATCATCTTCTCAGAGAGATCTCTCCTGGCTGCATAATTTAAAATATCTATTCTGTCTGTCCCAGCAGTGTCTCTCACATGCTCTCTCACACTTCTGCGTCTCAGGGAGGAACACTCAAGTCATTGAATCGAGGTGTGAGAGAGTATGTTGAGTTCAAGGAGCACAGTTATTCAGAGTTGTAGAAGTATTAAGAGCTCAGTAAAAATTCCCTAACAAGCCTTGTGTGAGCATTATTGTGTGATGACCTTCATTAAAGTCCCACGGTCAATGCTTTTATTACTACTGGAGGAAACTGAAGCTTGGAGGGGCCGTGTGTCAGGGACACTGTGATGCCTTCCAGACCTCCATTCACTAAAGAACCTGTTGCTCCAGCTGCCTGGGAGTGCTCTTGGCACACAGGCAGCAGCTGTCAGCAGCACGTCGCAGTCTAAGCTCCAGAGATTCCCCCCAGCCAAAGCCATGTCCAAGACTATGTCCCTTTCCTGGACTTGCCGCATTGAATGACCTACTTGCATGTTTGTTCATTCATTTGTTTGTTTTTCTGACAGGCAGAGTTAGACAGTGACAGAGAGACAGAGAGAAAGGTCTTCATTCCATTGGTTCACCCCCAAAATGGCCCCTATGGCCAATCTGAAGCCAGGAGCCAGGTGCAGGTACAGGGCCCAAGCACCTGGGCCATCCTCCACTGCACTCCCCGGCCACAGCAGAGAGCTGGACTGGAAGAGGAGCAACCGGGACAGAATCTGGTGCCCCGACCGGGACTAGAACCCGGGGTGCCGGTGCTGCAGGTGGAGGATTAGCCTAGTGAGCCGTGGCGCCGGCCTGCATGGGGTTCTAAAGGCCCCACTGGGGTACTCTTTTTAGACCAAAGCTCCAAAGCTCCCTGGTGGGGTTAGGAGGGACATCAGGCCTGCATGGAACCTCAACTTCTCTGCTCACCTGTTCCTTCATCCTTCCTTCCTTAGGATTCAGTCTCAAAAGCTCTCCATCATTTACATCCTGCACACTATACTTTCAGAACCTGCCTCCATGCAAGTCCACTTGGAATTTATCAAAGGGACAGGATGGTGGGGCCTCACTTAGAATCTGGGCAATCTGACTCTGCCACATGGCTATCTTAATCTCACTGCCTGACATCTGATGCAGAGTGAAGATGAGGCTAGAATTACAAACCTGGATGAGGCCATGAATGAACTCTCATGCTTCTTCAGGTTACAACCTTTCAAGGAAGAAATAGAGTCTGTGTTTTCTGATCTTTATACAAAATCCAAGGGAGGGATATATGGGCATAAGCAGGATTAATGTGTATCTGTTGTAAGTCAAATGTTCTACTAGTTTGCAGCAGTACTCCTGTGGAAGACCTAACCAGCACAGGTACACAGAAGGGAGCTTCTGTAGGTATCATCAGAGATCAGATCAATAAGTCACCTTCTTCTAAAAAAAAATTATTCATTTATTTGCAAGTCAGAGTTAGAGAGAAAGGGAGAGAGACAGAGAGAGAGATCTTCCATCCACTGGTTCATTCCCCAGATGGCTACAAGGGCCTGGGATGAACCCAGGCTGAAGCCAGGAACTTCATCCAGATCTCTCATGTGGGTGGCAGGAGCTAAGGGATTTGAGCCATCTTCTGCTGCTTTTCCCAGACACATTAACATGGAGCTGGATTGGAAGAGGAGAAGCCACGACATGAACAGGTGCCCATATGGGATGCTGGTGTCTCAGGAGACTGCTTTACCTGCTGTGCCACAACACCGGTCCCCTCAGTCACCTTGTTCCCATTGTTTGACCTCCCTGTTGGTATCCTTCTTTCATTATCAACATGATTTAGCAGATGGGGTGGATTGAGGAATATTTTTAATTACTTTACACTTTGCAGTTTTAGTCTATAGTAAAATTCACCAGAATGTAGAGATTTCCCATGTGCCCTATAGGTGCTCAGCCTCCCCCACTGTGAAGTTCCCACACCATAGTGGTACATTATTTACACGTGGTTATTGACATTGACAAATCATCACTCAGAGATCATCATTTACATTGAGGTTCATCTTAGTGTTGCATATTTTATAGGTCTGGACAAACGCATAACACCATGTATCCACCAGTACAGAGCTGTACACAATAATTTCACTGGAAGTCCTGATCTGCCTATCACCCTTCCTGTTGCCTGAAGCCCTGGCAACTACTGATCTTTTTACTGTCTCCATAATTTTGCTTTCTCCAGAAGGGCAGATAGTTGGAATTAGAGTATATAACCTCTTCAGATTGGCTTCTTTCCCTTAGTGATTGGATACCACAATATAGCTAATTAGAATGGCCAAAATCCAGAACACTGACAACACCAAATGCTGACAAGAATGTGGAACAACAGGAATTCACTGCTGTTAGGAATGCAAAATGTACAACCACTTTGGGAGACAATATGGCTGTTTCTAGAAACCACACACTCTTACTATACAACCTGGTAGTTTCATTCTTTGGTATTTACCCAAAAGTAGTTAAAAACAAAAAACCTGCACATGGATGTTTATAGCAACTTTAAATATAACTGCTTAAACAAGATGTCATTCAGTAAGTGAATGGATAAATAAAATGTGGTACATTGGAAATATTCAAATGGAACATTTACACTAAAAAGAAATACACTATAAACCATGAAAAGAAATAAAGGAAACTTAAATGTGTATTACTAAGGAAAAGAATTCAATCCAAAGGATTTCTAAACAAGGAAAAATTGGCTGTAGAATGACTTTTTAATGGTAAATTGAATTCTCCTGACTTCGTCTTCTAAGAAAAACAAAAGTCACAAAGAAGGAAAAAGTACTTATTTTACTGCCAAGTTCATCTTCTGTCTATTCTGTTAAACGAATGGCTAGTACATGAACCCCATTTTAAATTTAAAGCCATTTCTACTTAAAATAACCTATTTGATAATGTTGCATGATTACTATTTGAATACTAGATGACAAAGTTCGTAAGAGAAATACATTAAAAATGTTTAGAAAATTATAGGATTGTTTCAAAAACTTCCAAAGTGGAATGTAATTTTCACCATATTTCCTGGATTTATATACCATAAGATTATTATTTTGCTTTGGTCAATTTGTGGACCTCTATATTCATCAGTTTATTGACTTCTCCCTCCTCCTGCCTTTTGGAGAAGATATTTGTCACAAAGAAATATATCTAAGTGGGTATAGTGTTACTAACAAAGTCTGTAAGAAACACAAATAGTGTCATTCACTTAGCAATATACATGCTACTCCATATATTACGTTTCTGCACACATAAGTAAAAAAAATAAGGGAAAAAATAGTAGCATATGATTCTATCAGGTTTTGAATACATTCACTTCTCAGAACAGTAAAATTCTACAATTTTATTCAACGTGTTTCAAAACAGTTTTGTCTATGGCAATTTCTGAAGTATAAAACTGGTATATATTAAAGCTGGGGCTGTAATTTAAGACTTCAGATAATTTGCAATGGCTATATTTTGTATGAAAGAAACATTTCTTCCAGAACTTTGAATCTAACCAAAATAACATCGTTGAGTAACTTGCCTTTCTTGCAGTTATGAAGCAAAGCAGCTGATCTACATGAGCAAATTTATCCCCTTTATTTTTAAAGTTAAAAGAAAAACTATAGTCACAGAAACTAAGAGAACTAGAGGACTAATTTGCTGCTTAATACAAAAAGGTGTTTTTCATAATTATATACCCTGTATTTGAAGGGACTTCAAAAAGTTCATGGAAATAGAATTCAAGTGTAAATTGAGTTTGGTATCAAAAAAACAATTGAAATCCATGCATAGTTTCTCCATAACATGCATTTTCCATAAACTTTCTGAAACCCATCCATACATATGGATCTCAGTTTTTTTCACACCAAAAAAAACTTATTTTTTCACTCCATTTTCCATGATTTTTTTTTTTTGTAAATGAAAAAGAATTGTTTCTGGGTTTTATTTGTTAACAAGCAGCACTTTTAAAATTGAGGTTTTTAAAACAAAATGAAAATCTTCATGGTCATGTTTCCCCTCATGTGTAGCAGTTATCTACCAGGATACATATTAAAAGTATTACTCTCAATCCAAAATTAAGTCACCCAAGAGATAGAATTTAAATCTGTAGCCTTTAAAATAGGTACACAAGGATATTCATGACACAAATGACCCTATCCCAACAAACCAGTAAAAGACCATCTCAGTTTTCCCCCTCATAGTAATTTCTTCTCTAACAACTGTGCATGCTTTCCACGGCATTCCATTCCATTTCTGGGATGTAAAAGTTTTTTTTAAAGATTTATGTATTTGAAAGTCAGAGTTACAGAGAGGAGAGGCAGAGAGAGGGAGGCAGAGAGAGAGTGAGAGGGAGAGAGAGAATTCTTCCATCCGATGGTTCACTCCCCAATTGGCTGCAACAGCTGGAGCTGCGCCAATCTGAAGCCAGGAGCTTCTTCTGGGTCTCCCACGCAGGTGCAGGGGCCGCAAGGACTTGGGCCATCCTCTACTGCTTTCCCAGGCCGCAGCAGAGAGCTGGATCAGAAGTGGAGCAGCCGGGACTAGAACCAGTGTCCATTTGGGATACCCGCGCTTCAGGCCAGGGCATTAACCTGCTGCGCCACAGCACCGGCCCCAGTAAAAGATGTTACATCAGGTAGTGAGAATGAAGATTCATCAGACATTATCATGCTCACTTAGTGGTAACATTTTATTTACAGTAATGCAGAAATACTTCCATCATGGTCACTTAATGGTAACAAAGATCTGTTTGTGAATTCTCAAAGCTCATGCGTTTCCATGATACTTTTTAGATCAATAAATTGCATCGTAACCAATTTGCATGAACATTAACTAAAGCACCAAAGAGAATGATTCCCAGATAGTTTATGGAGCATCTGGGTTTGGAAGATATAGTCCTTCCTTTAGATATAGTTGATGAGAATAGCCAAGGTAGATTACATGCTTATTCCATTAGCTCATAGGTTCAAACTGTGTATAACAAAGTAATGTGTCATCTAGCTTGTCCCTGAGTCCTAAACACAGGACACAGTTCTAAGGGATTTTACATGTGGTACTATATGAAAATTGGGGTCCCATGATAAAATGTGCTGGAAGGTGTAGAGTTAAACAAACTGTGCAGGTTTATCCATCTGTAGACAACTTCCTTTAACATGCTGAAAGGCATTATGAATCATCAAGAGGTAGAAGCTGCAGGCAGTGTTTCCCAAACCCTCTATTCTAAGGCACATGGTTGGTACAGGGTTCCACAGAAGATACTTTGGAAATTGCTGCAATTGCCAAAGTTCTACCAAAGTACCACTGGTACAAGCTAAATATACAGTGTTCTAAAGACACCATGAACTTCCATTCTAGTTTGAGAAATTCTTGACAATCACTTTTTTCCTTGTTCCTTGATGGCTTTTTTTTTCCCCTTAAAAGTCATGTAACTATCTTGATCAACTTGTCCAAATTCTGGAAACCAATTTTTTTTTTCTTTTTCTATTTCTCTATTTTAATAATGCTTCCTATAAAGTAATTCTGTGATCACCTCTAAGTCAATTGCTTTATTTTTCCTCCCTATAGTGCAATTCAGAAACATAAAGAACAAAAGGTGCTCCTTTTCTAAAAGTGATACAGAAAACAAGAACAAAGCAGTGGATATGCTAATCTGAACAATCAAAGAAAATATGAGTAAAGCTATTGTACAGGTTCAGGAATGTCCTCTGCAAAACCCAAATTATTCTGAAGTTTCACACTTAGTTATCTTAATACTAATGCCCAGTAGCTATATCTCTGCCTAAATTTTGTAATAATAACTACATTTTCCACTGCCTTCTGTGGTGGTATTTTTCAGTATACAGCAAAAGATATTCCAGTTCTCAGTCTTCACTATAGTTTTTGAAAGCCTTTGCATGGCTAACTTAATTATTTCTCTTTCAACATCAAGTAATTGACTTTTTATTAAGTCTCCTGTAGATTTAAAATGGGTGCTGGTTCTGGTCCCCGTTGCTCCTCTTCCAGTCCAGTTCTCTGCTGTGTCCCGGGAGGGCAGTGGAGGATGGCCCAGGTCCTTGGGTCCTGCACCCGCATGGGAGACCAGGAGGAAGCACCTGGCTCCTGGCTTCGGATGGGCACAGTGCTGGCCGTAGCGGCCATCTGGGGAGAGAACCAACAGAGGGAGGACCTTTCTCTCAGTGTTTCTCTCTCTGTAATTCTGTCAAATAAATAAATAAGTAAAAATAAAAAATAAAATGCTGGTGTTGTTCCCCATGGTAGAACATTCTACTGGCTCTGCTCAAGCCCCAGTGAAGCCTAAAGGTATTCACTTACCTACTGCTGCTGACCAACTCCGAAGTCAGCACACACCACAATTGTGTTAGAAATTTCCTCTAAGTCCTGACTCACTAAGTGCTTATTTCCAGCCATATGTTCCCAATTGCTAAAACAGATTTAGAAAACTATATTTGGTTGCTATATTTATTTTGTAATTCTTATAGGAGAACTCAAAAAAAAATCACAGCCCTGTGCCAAATTGTATTGCATTTAAGCATCATCATAGACTTCTATCCTTTGAAGAAACCTTAGAGACTTCCCAGTTCAGAGGTTCTCAGACGTTAGCATAAATCAGCAACACCTGAAGAACTGTTAGCACCCGATTGCAGCCCCATGCCCAGCGTTATTTTTGTTGGTTTTTTTTTTGTTTTGTTTTGTTTTTTTTGGACAGTGAGAGAGAGAGACAGAGAGAAAGGTCTTCCTTTGCCATTGGTTCACCCTCCAATGGCCGCCGTGGCCGGTGCACCACGCTGATCCGAAGGCAGGAGCCAGGTGCTTCTCCTGGTCTCCCATGGGGTGCAGGGCCCAAGCACCTGGGCCATCCTCCACTGCACTCCCTGGCCACAGCAGAGAGCTGGCCTGGAAGAGGGGCAACTGGGACAGAACCCAGCGCCCCGACCGGGACTAGAACCTGGTTTGCCGGCGCCGCAAGGCGGAGGATTAGCCTAGTGAGCCGCGGTGCCGGCTGACCAGCATTTCTGAGTGTGCAGATTTGAGGGTGGAAACAGGGCATTCATATTTTTGACAGTTCCCTGGTTATGCTGATGGTGCCGGTCCCAGGAGCACACCCTAGGAGCCACCGTGGTGGAGAGCTCTTTCTCCCAGGTCTGCTCCAGAGGAGCTGAGCATTCTCAGAACTGACTTCAACCCAACCCTGCAGGGCTTAGGAGGAGGAAGGAAGTATTTTCTTCTCCTGTCCTTGGAGCTCACAAGGGGCAATTGATTTGTGGACCTTTTTGCATCTCAGCGATTTTCATCAGAGACCCTAAAATTGCTGCAGCTTCTCTGCCCATTGAGGGTCGCTGATCTAGTTCAAACTTCTCGACTGTTAAATTATTGACTTATTTTAGAAAGGGAGCAGGATGGTGACGGGGTGGAGGGGGGAGGGAAAAGAGGAAAGGATATCAACATCTTCCACTGGTTCACGCACTCCCCAGACACCTGCAATAGCCAGGTGTGGGCCAAGCTGAAGCTGGGAGCCTGGAACTCAATCCAAGCAGAAAGCTGTATTAGAAGTGGAGTTGGGTCTTGAACCCACAAACCCCAGCATAGGCCGTGGGCAACCCAAGTGATGTCCTAACTGCTGCATCTGCCTGGCCCAACCTGCTCATTTTGCATGCAAGGACTTACAGGCTCAGGAAGGCGAGATGGCCAGGCCAGGGGGCTGCTGAGTCAGGAAGAAAGCCCCGGTGCCCCACATCCAGTGATGCCACATTCCCTCCTGCATCACTAGCTACCTCACTCCTGCCTATACATGCACACCCATTCACTGCTCAATGTTACCAATATTGGCCAAAAAAATTATAATCATTTTTCTCTCTGCTAATTGGAGAGGTTGGTTTTTTTCAGTCCGTGACTCGCTGCTCTCTTCTCCCTAAATGTGGAGCATTCTGACACAGCCTTGCTTTTGCTCCAGGTGAGATTAAGCTTTCTGTTTTTTAACCTATGTTCGCTTTTATTAATGGGAACTTCCCAAACAATCTATACAACAACTTTTTATATTTTCTTGGCTTACGGCTCCTACAGGTAGTGGTTCTTCCTGTTAGCTTAATGTTTTCAGAACAACCTCTAACCAATATATTTTGTGAACGCAGAAGGATTTTATTTACCTCTGAGCGTACGGATCATGTTTTTTTGCTGTTTTTGTTTTTGCTTTCTCTTTTATGTACTTATCTTCCCACTTCTACAGAGTCGTATTTTCTCTAATAATTTCACCTGTTTGTTTTTCTTAATAGCACAATGCTGTTTAGGGCACTCGCACTGCAGCACATCTAACATGGATGCTGCTCCAGCTGTTCCTGTGGTGTACAGAGTCACTCTGCCAACCATTTGCCCAAAGTACCCCCTGTACTCGTAGCAACCACAGGTTTTCACCCAGGGCTGTATACAGACCTCCACATACCAGAAGTGTGACATGACTCAAATTGTTATTTTCTTCTACCTGGAGTGTTCATTGTATAGCTGATTCTTATCATATGTTCAAGAAAGTAGATACTATGTTAAATAGATGTTCTATGTCAGTGTGGGTCAATGCCGGTCAACAACCAATGGGTTGGTTTTTGCTGATCCTTGGGAGAAAAATAGAACATCTGACTGAAATGTAGTGTTGTTTTGTGGAAAGACAGCATGCCATCTGACTAGCTTTCTTCAATAACAGATGTTCAGTGAATAAGCTTTATGAGGCAAGCCACTATGCATAATAAAATTCAGCAACAGCTGAAACAGGGTTCTTTATTTGCCTGTAGGTTGATAAAGCTGAGATAGTGTACATAACATGTGTTATAAGCACATTTGAATAATCAATGTGACTATTGGGATGGAAGGAAGAAGATGCATATGCTTTGCTTTTTAAAGTGATGAATTGGTTGAATTCACAGAAATTTTTGGGGGTTTGAACAATAAAATAGAAACTATAGAAAAAGATTTATACTCAGGAGCAAAATATCCCCGAAGAAAATAAGACTTCCATCTATTCTGGCAAGATCCTCACAGTCCAAAGCTCTTGTAAAGTTAGTATAGCCCTTCTAAGTTAAAAAATAGTTTATAAAGTCACAGCTCAATCTTAACACATTCATGGATATGATAATCTATACTTTTATGAAACAGAAGACATCCTGTATTTTAAAAGTCGATGGCTTTGTTTTTATTATTCAAAGCTTAAGTGTTAAGTTTTAGCCAGTCAGATTAGATTTCCCTTTGTATAAAATATGTGGAAGCGTTTTATGATTTGATGACTGGTGCTGTCTCCCAGGCTGCAGAGCTGTTAAGGTCTCCTCCACAACACTGCAAAAGGACCCCGACATCCTCTCAGGTGTTTTCACAGCAGCAGCCCGAGGGCACTGGCCCAGGAGGCTCTCTGTACCATGTGAGCAGTTGCACCCCAGTCACACATGTGCATCCTAATTTGTTTCCCACTTTCTTCCTCTGCCTCCAAAACCCAGCTCACAAGTTTCCAAGCTCCATCGTCTGCCCTAAATGTGCTCTGAACGGTCAGAATACAACAGGCTTCCTGTCGTCCCCAGAATCCTATGCTCTTACCCTCTAGCTTCTTGTCTTTGCCAATTTGCATAGCTGATCTGCAGTTTACTAAGGGTTGGGCTTCTGTGGGATCCTGAGGAAGCTTCCCTGACACCCCTCCACTTTCCCACACTGAGCCAGTCAGTCCCCAACACACCCCTGCCCTGCCTCATACCCACTGGCTTTTAGTTATCTGTCTACATATCCCCCACACCCTGGAAGCGCTTTGGCAGAGACCACACCACCATAGCTGACATACACTTGATGCTCAGTGTTTTCTGAATCAATGAATGAATGGTGAACAAGATGGTGCTTCTCTGTGCACAAAGTTACCCACAGCTGCACACTCCTCCTAGTTATGGGCGACCCCCTCTCTCTGTCATCCCACTGCCACCTCCTGTTCTCATCTGCCTAAAGCCTTACCCACACCACCCAGACCAACTCCATCACCCAAGTGATCACTCTCAGATTCTGATCTCATCTCCCATAAGCTGCTATACCAAGTCCTTCCTCCAGAAACGCATGCCTTACCTCTTCATCTGCTGCTTTCCTGCTTCATTCACGTTCCCAAACGTAATCACAAGGGCCAATATAGAGGCTCTACACACACAAAACCCTGTTTCTTAGACTACATCCTTGACCGTGCTGTTCCCAGTGGTTGGAAGCCTTTTCTTCTCCCTATGTCACTTCCCCCTAAATCAACTCCTAGCCAACCTTTAACACTCGGTTCCAAAGCTGTCCTCCCCAGGAAATCTCCCATGCTCTGTATGGCTGCTGGTGGTCTCCTGCCTGGGCTCCCTGCACCATTTTCTTCCAGCTCTCCCAGAGGGTGACTAGACTGGAGGTGTCTCTAGACAAGAGGTTCTTGCTCTGTTCCCCTCTCGATTCCTGGCACACGAGCCATGGTTATCAGGAAACACGCGTGGCTGATGAACAACATTGTCCCAAAGCTCCACAAAGGCAGAAACTGTGCCTCAGCTTCCTTTAAGTCCTCATCCTTCCTTGTTTTCCTTCTGTCCCCAAGCCCCATCCCCCCCACACTGCCAAACAGCCCCTGTTTTCCTTTGAAGGGACTCAACAGGTATTGGGAACTAACGGAAGTGAATTAGACATGGGCAGGTAAGGAGTACTGTGCTTGTCTATAGCTAGAAACCAGAATAATACCAACTACCTTACCATAAACACAATTTACTTCAAAATAAAATGTGTTGCCTTTTTGCTTTCCTCACAGGAGTGCTCCCAATCACTTGTTTAAACTGGATGAAAGAGTAATTTTGAAATATCAACAAATTCACTGAACTAATGTGCCATGACAATAGGCAATTGCTAAGAGTAGCACTATTGTATGTAAGTAAGAAAATAGCATGAAACTCAATAAAAAGATAGATTTTTCAGGTTATTAAATGGAGGACTAGACAGAAAAGGAAATGAGATGTGTAGGCTTGTAGTAACAGAGTACTTGTCTACATATAACTTGGATAAAATCTGATTTAGACTTGGTGTATTTCCATAATGCTGACCTCTTTACTTCAAAATCAAAGAAATGTATTGGGTGAAATAAAAAGCTAGTTTTTTTCCCTCAACTCTGGACTTGACTATTTTATCAGTGTTTAAAAATTAAAATGAAAACATCCATTTGGAGAGCTTTCTAATAATTCACCACAAAATCATTGTGTGTTGGACATACTTGTTTATTTCCTTCATCTGCCTCAAGTGTTCCCAAGTTCCTAAGTGCAGATCTCATTGATTACCCTGCACTAACTTGGGCTCAGGCCCCTGCAGGACCAATGCCTCTCTACAGCGTACTTCTGGGACACTACCAAGAGGGTGCACTTGTGCCCATGGAATGTCTCCTCTGTTCACCTGCAATGATGTCCAAGCATTGTGAAGCCAACCGAGTGAAGCCTCATTTGACCCTGTATCCATGACCTTGATCTTTAGGAACCACAAACCCCTAAATGTCCTAGTGTGCTGACACCCCCAGAATTAGGCTACCCAAATGGAGAGAATGCCCCCTCCTCAACTGATACCCCATTCTAACACCTGGCCTGGAAGCAGCATCACTGTGCCCAGTGACTCAGAGAGTCTTTCCTTACCTGGGCAAAGCAGCCCCTTCAGCTTCAACCACCCACTGTTTGAGGGGCTTTAGCCGAATCTATGAGGAGGATATAGGCTCCATAGCCCAATCCCCAAGTCCACCATCACACTCCAATAAAAAACAATTAAAAGGCCTGTTCACTATCACCTTATCCCTCTGCTCCCAAATACAGCTGTGAACCACTTAATGAGGGGATACATTCTAAGAAATGCTTGTTAGATGGTTCCTTCATTGTGCAAATATAGAATGTCCAGGCAGAAACCTAGATGGCACAGCCTACTGCACCACTAGCCTCTATGGGGTGTGTGAGTGTGTGTAGGCATACATATGGTATAATCTATTCTCCTGGGGCACTGATGAACAAAACATGAGACTAAATCACATACAAGAGAATGACTGCATATTGTTTTACAGTACATTTTTCTTCAAATAAAGAAAATACTCTAACAAGACATACAGTATGAAAGGCCTTCAAAAATGTTATGAAAATGCATATGATCCTTTTAATGCTATTTTTCCATGAACTTTTTGAAGTCCCTCATATAGTTAAAACATAAACCAACAACATAGTTTGTATTATCATCAAGCCTTGTGAACCGTACATAATTGTACGTGCTCTACTTTTATATGGCTGGCAATGCAGGTTTGTTTCCACCAGCATCACCAAAATATGGGTTCTCTGTTGCACCACATCACAAGAACGATGATGGCACGAGGATTACAATGTCACTAGGTGACAGGACCTTTTCAGCTCCATCATAACCTTAGGAGATGATTGTTACGTGTACCTTCCCTTGTTGACCAAAATGTCATTATCTGCAAAAGTCCTATAACTTCCCCACCAGAACCATTCAAGCAATTTCTAGAAATGTCCAAAATCTTTTGGTCCCAGAAGTCCGCAGAAGAGCTAGGACATCATCTTTAAATGCTGCCATTCTGGAATTTCGTACATATTCCCAACCAAATGGTCACAAAGACCATTTGGTGCCCGTTTTGACCTTGCAGGAATCTACCTGCACTGCCCAAAGACTGTACTTGCTGGCCTAATTCACACAATGAATTGACCTCTTAGAGACTACACAGAAGCTGTGAGGACAGAGTCTTCCCAAGTTTGAGGTCCTGGCCAATGAGCCCAATTTGGTGTGAGAGATAGTCAAGTGTGCATTTTTACAAAGAGAAATTTAGACAAATTTGCCTTTATGACTTTTATCTATAAATGCTGAAGGATCAAACTCCCACCAAGTTCTCAGTTATGCCTAGATATTTTCGACTCTTTCATATATTCATTCTGTACACATTTATGAAGTATCTACTGGGTATCTAGCACTGTTAAAGGAACCAAAAATATAGCAGGGAACCAAAATTTATATTACAGAGAGAAAGAGAATAAACAAAGAGCTGAATGATATAAGATCAGACTATAGTAAGTACTGTGAACAACAGAGTAAAAGGAAATGTTTGAAAAATGTCTCATTATGGAAAAGCATGACAACATACAAAACTGGGAAAACAGTCTGATCACTCATGAAGATTCAGCTTCTACAAAGGTCAACCCAGGACCTGTCTTCGCACCCCTACCCACGCTCCCACCAGCGTCTATTTTGAAAAACGTCCCAGACATCATATCATTTTCTTACATATGTTCTGACACCAATCTCTAAAAGAAAGAGACCACTATTTACGGTAGGTAAGCAGGAAGGTATCTCTAAGGAGGTGATCTGAGAGAATGAGATACGTGAACAGCAGCGCTGGAGTAGAGAGAACAAACGCAAACATTCTGCGGTGGCTCAGGTATGCAGAAAAGCCAGCAGGACTACCCTGAGTGAGAGGGGAAGAGACTCAATCCCAAAGTCACTGTGGCCAGAGTTCCTGGAAGGAATAGAGTTATACAACTGGACTTCATGGGGATCACCAACTACCAGAAACTCTTCTAGTTTTTCCCACATGCTAACTTTATAGTTTCATAAGATGCCTGTGAAGTCTCTTGCACTAGTCTTACTCCCATTTCAGTAAACTGGGAGGGGTGGGATACTAAAAGCACAGCTTGTTCCTGGCAGCCTTGCAATCTGAACTGAGCCAATGTCCAGTAAGGAACCTGTCTCCTCTTCTACGTATGTACAATGTAGCCAAGCTCCTGATCTCTACACTGTGTGGTTCATCACGAGCTACAACTCACGTTTCTGGGTAACTCTGAGCAAGTCTGGGTAGACAGGCTCAGAAGTGCCCCTTCCAGGTCTAACCCCACACTCCCACCTGCTTCCAGGTCTGGACACCGCTTCCTGGCCAGCTTCCCTTGTCCTGCTTCCCTTTCCTTCCACTAAAATTCTCTTTCTCCATTTGACAATGAGCCTCATGAGAGTGTGGAACATGTCAGTCTGTCACTCACAGTCTGCCCTCACACAGTGCCCAAAGTAGAGTGGGTACTGAATAAATGCCTGCTGGACAAAGAAATTAATGAGTTAATGGGAAGTGATGATTGTACTATAGCAAACAATGTTAGTGTTTAAAGGGATAGTTGTTTCTCTACTCAAAACACTTCTGATGCAGTATGTGTGTGGATTTTTTTTCCACAGCAAGAAATTCTCCAATTCTTTTCAGATACTGAGTGTTCTACTTAATGCAAAAATCTGACACGAACTAGAGTTGTGCAGCCCCCACAAGAGCTCAGTCCCATAAGGTTGCTGCCAACTCGGATGCTAATTGCTGGTGGTAGGTCACCAGGTGACCCACACTTCAGTCCAAATTGGCTACAAAATGGAATTGCTCACTGTTCCCTTCTCATATGCAATAATTTGCTATGGTGATTTATAAAACACAGGGAAATACATGCACCAGTTTATAGTAAAGGATATAAAAAATGCCAATGAACACCAGATGAAGAGATACATAACACAATTGCAGGAGGCTCCTGAGTACCCGAACTTCCATTGCCTTGGAGCTTAGAGTCTGCTACCCTTTCATCTATGAGTACATGCACCAACCAGGAAGCTCCTGGAATCCACTGTAGAGAGTTCTAGTACATAGGTATGACTGATTCAACCACCGGCCATTGGTAAGTAAATTAATCCTCAGCCTCTCTCCTATTCCCATAGGGCAGGTGTGAGGCTGAGAGTGAGAGTCCCATCCCTATGACATCTGGCTGGGACCCTGGCATCAGACCCTGTCCTCTAAGAGCCACCAGGGTGGCATAAACTCATGGATGGTCAGAAGGGGACTCACATGAATAACAAAAGATCCCTGCTCCTCTTACCTCTATCACCCAGAAGTCCCAAGGGTTTGGGAGCTCTGTGGCAGAAGAGGATACCTATTCCTTAATCTGTCACAAATCATAATGTTCCCTCCAGGTCCCATGGAATTCCTCTTTTCCATGTGTTGCCTCGTCTCTTTGTATAGCTTTCAGTAAGTAGCAGCTGCAGCTCCACTTCAAAGGGCTGCCCCAGGTCCCAGGATCCTTTTCACTCCACAAGCAAAGGGCCAACCATACCAAGGAGTTAACATACTTAATCTTCACCCCAGGGGCTGTTAACCAATGACTACAGGTGTGGCGTGGGGGCCAGCTCCTTTGCCTTAGGGTGGGACAACTGAGGTCAAGTTTAGACACTGGAGCCCCTTGCAGGATCAGGCTTCCTCCTTTCCCTGTCCTGTTTCTGGGATCCCAACACAAATATTGGATATTTTTTAAAATTTTGTTTCCCAGTTCAGCTGCATATGGTCCATTAATAGTAATTATGCTTAACAGTTTTGCCATAAAATAAAAATATAATTCATTTTATTTTTTTAAGATTTATTTATTTATTTGAAAGTCAGAGCTACACAGAGGAGGAGAGGCAGAGAGAGTGAGGTCTTCCGTACGATGGTTCACTCCCAAGATGGCAGCAACGGCTGGAGCTGCACCGATCCGAAGCCAGGAGCTTCTTCCGGGTCTCCCAGGCAGGTGCAGGGGCCCAACAACTTGGGCCATCTTCCACTGCTTTCCCAGGCCATAGCAGAGAGCAGGATTGGAAGAGAAGCAGCCCGGACTAGAACCAGCACCCACATGGGATGCCGGCACTTCAGGCCAGGGTGTTAACCTGCTGCGCCACAGCGCCAGCCCCTAATATAATTCATTTTCAAACTATTTCAAAATTAATGTAATTTTACACTAACGAAGGTATCTGAGGGATGTTACAGCACCTCAGAGTCACCACTGAAAATCTCCAGGACTCCTGTTCGAGACTTCTCAGCAGTGGTCAACGGAGGCTCGTGGTTGGTTAGCAGGAGGATGGATGATTGGCAGGAAGTTGGATGTTTGCCATCTATGGCACTGCCATCCCTTTAGGAAGTGAGGAGAAATCAAGCATCAGAGCTGGACTTGGCATTAAAACTCACAGAACTGGTTTCTGTTACGTGACTTTTATCACACAATAATCATCATGAGGGGCAGCGGGAAGCCTCGTAGGATAAAACCTGAAGTAGTCTGCTGAGATGAACACTCGTCTACTGGTATTTCCCTTGCCTTCCTAGGAGATGAGTTGAAGGTAAGAGTAGAAGTAATAGGCTGGCGCCGTGGCTCACTTGGCTAATCCTCTGCCTGCGGCGCGGGCATTCTGGGTTCTAGTCCCAGTTGGGGCGCCCAGTACTAGTTCCGGTTGCTCCTCTTCCAGGCCAGCTCTCTGCTGTGGCCGGGGGGTACAGTGGAGGATGGCCCAAGTGCTTGGTGCTTGGGCCCTGCACCCGCATGGGAGACCAGGAGGAAGCCCCTGGCTCCTGGCTTTGGATCGGCGCAGCACCCGCCATAGCGGCAATTGGGGGAGTGAATCAACGGAAGGAAGACCTTTCTCTCTCTCTCTCTCTCTCTCTCTCTCAGTCTACAACTCTCTCTCTCTCTCTCGCACTATCTAACTCTGCCTGGCAAAAAAAAAAAAAAGAGTAGAAGTAATGGCTTGTTTAGGAAACAAGAGACGTTTTTCACACATACAGGCAGAGTAAACATCAAGGTTCAACTGAATTTAAATGAACTCAAAAGCCACATTTGCCCTGCTGTCTCTAGGCGGCCACTGCAGGTCATTTTGGACTTTAAATGAGAAGTGAATTGTGATAAATGCATTTATGAATATGCTCATTTAAAAACAAATGGCACCATAGTCCCAGAGTTCTAAATTGAAAAGTTAGTAGCAAAAAGAACCGCTCCAAAATCCATACTCTATAAAACCCACATAGCTCACAAGGAGAATGATAGAACTATAGATCATTGGCAATTATGCTCCAGAGAAAGGTTTGAGCCTGCTACATTCATAAAGCATTCTTTGAGTGAAGGCATAAATACTGCAATGTAAAACCATAGCTAAAATGCCTTATCTTTGTACATGAGATTTATAATAATAGAATAATATAATCAGCACATTTTCTTGAAAAATATTGTGACTAGTAAACTTCAGATTCAGGAAACCTGAATTCTTTACCAGAATGCAGAATGTTAGCTTTGCAGAGGAAAAGGATATGGAACAAGGCTCAGAGAAGAACTCTCCCCATTATGTAGTGACATCTCCTACAGTGACATCATATGTCAGACATGACGTCATCTCAAGATGCTCCTTGGGGAGAGTTTGTCAGAGTTTCACTTCTCATCACCATTTAGCGCCCACAGAAGTAAGGAGACTAAACACGGAAATATGGATTTATTCTCATTATGAGCTAAGCACCCAGTATCCATATTGATATGTGAATGTAGAGATAAACCATTACAAATCTTCTAGGAAATTGTTTTGAAAATCTTTTTCCTAAAAGCCTTACCGTCAAATGAGCAGCTATGAGATAGACTCATTCACACTATTTTGATGTAACAATTAAACCTGAAATGGGTATCCATTTGGGAACCTAAGAAATGTAAACTAAGTAAGAGGATAATGTACTGTAAATAAGGTAACATCTTCTCTTGCTGTCTGCCACCTACAACCCTAGCTTCAGGATCAAAACGCTGCTTTCTATACAAAGGAACTGGTCCCATCAAATACCAGAGGCCCAAGGTAAGCAGGTGAAGCCATGTTTTAGATACTTTTCTCTGGTATCTTCCACTCAAATACTTTTAAACAGCATATTTGCCTTTTTAAATTTTTCACTTATTGTCGCTCCCCCTCTTCGTGGAGGAGCAACACAGGACCCTGCGCTGTTCTTTTGTCTGCTCGGCCCTCCCCGGGTTTGCTGCTGGTTCTTCCTGGGTTGGCTACTATCCCTTCCACCTCCGTGGAAGGGCAGTTCCCCCTGGCCACATTCCCCACTTCCGCAGGGGAGCGGCACACCGCCGGCCGGCTCTCTCGGGGGCTGCACGGGTGTTCCCCTTAGATGTTCCCCATAGATGTTCCTGGTGCATGCCGTCTCTCTCCTCCTTTATAGTCCTCCTCTGCCAATCCCAACTCGGCTGCCCACACGCCGAGTACGCTGCTCTCCTCCAATCAGGAGCAGGTCCTGCTGTTTATTGGCTGAACTGGAGGCAGCTGGGTAGAAGCTGTTTACTTCTCTCCCAGCGCCATATTGTGGGAGAGCAGATGCATAGAATAAGTCTTAATTCCAGTAACTCAGTCCAGTCCGGGCTGCTCCCCACAGATCCCCCTTTCTTTTTATTTTTTGGCGTTGATACGCGCCTGTCTTCGGTGTCCCGCGGCACACACTCTGCTCTACTTGCTAGAGTTGCCACAGGTTCTTACAAGTCCTATCAATCAGGCAAACCGAATCCGGGTCCTCTCTTCGCCATGTTGTGAGGAGGTTTTTAGGCGCTGATGCGTGCCTGTGTTCGGTGACCTGCGGCTCATACTCTGGTCGAGCCGCCTGCTGGCGCTTACCGCCTTAATCAGGCAGACCGAATCCAAGCTTTCTCACTGCCGTATTGTGGGGGAGACTTATTAGTGTTGGTTCGTGCCTATCTTCGGTGACCTGCAGCTCATACTCTGGTCGAGCTGCTTGCTGGTGCTTACCGCCTTAATCAGGCAGACCGAATCCAAGCCTCCTAATTGTTGTATTGTGGGGAGGCCTTACTGATGTTAATTCGTGCCTGTCTTCGGTGACCTGCGGCGCATAAGCTGCTAGCCGCCGCAGGTGCTCATCACCTCACTTAATCAGGCAGACCGAGTCCAAGCTCTCACATTGCAGTGTTGTAGGGAGGCCTTTCTATTTCTCTATTTCTCTATCTCCGGGCATTCCTATTTCTCCCATTTTACTTCTGTCTGCCAACATTCCTATTTCTCTCACTTTACTTCTAAACTTCTATTTCTCTTATCCCTGCAGCTTCCCGGCGCCTCGCCCTGCCGGCAGCTTCACGGCTCCGTGCGGCTTCCCGGTGCCTCGCCCCGCCGGCGGGCTCCGCCCCGAGGCTGCTTCTCGGCAGCTTTCCGGCTCTGAGCCGCTTCAGCCCGCGCCTCTCTCATCTGCGCTGCTCGGCTTTGCGCGCACACTCCGCGGTCTCGCACTTAACCCTTTCGCGTCTGAACCACGGCCTCGCGCCAGCCCCGCGTTCCCTATGTACTTGAGCCCCGCACGCTCTGTCTGCGCGCGGCAGCCTCCACGAGTCACACAGCGTAGCTTACGTGTCCGCCACTAGCATTCAATCTAAGTTCCCCGGGCTAGCCTGGCGAATTCAACCCAGCATACGTCTCCGCCCCACGGTTTGGCTTCCCGTCCTTTGCTCCCCGGGCTAATCAGACGGATCCCAACCAGGCTTACGTTTCAGCTTCTGGTTTCAACTTTTCGCCCCCTATTCCCGGGCTAACTTGAGAATCCCAAAGTGGCTTTCGTTTCAGCCTCGGCCTGCCCCCCGCGGCTTCAATTTCCCTAACACTTTTCTCTACCCGGTATGTTTCCCTAAGTTTTCTTCCAACAATATTCCTCCCTCATTTCTCCTGGCCTCTCCCCACAGTCTGCACCCAAGTCTGTTTGTTCTAGCTTTCACTTTCGCTTTTGACCTTAGAGATTTCTCCCAGCTTCCCCCCGTAGTCCGTATCCGAGTCTATGCCTAGGCTTTCAATAGCTTCTTCCGGCACCCTTTTCGTCCGGCTTTTCCCTAGGCTGTTTGCTAGTCTCTCTCTCCGGTATTTTCCACTTCTTCCCGTTTCTTCCCTCTTAGGTTTCCTATCCGAGTCACGGCACCATTATGTCGCTCCCCCTCTTCGTGGAGGAACGACACTAAGCCCTGCCTAGGCTTCATATCCGAGTCACGGCACCATTATGTCGCTCCCCCTCTTCGTGGAGGAGCAACACAGGACCCTGTGCTGTTCTTTTGTCTGCTCGGCCCTCCCCGGGTTTGCTGCTGGTTCTTCCCGGGTTGGCTACTATCCCTTCCACCTCCGTGGAAGGGCAGTTCCCCCTGGCCACATTCCCCACTTCCGCAGGGGAGCAGCACACCGCCGGCCGGCTCTCTCGGGGGCTGCACAGGTGTTCCCCTTAGATGTTCCCCATAGATGTTCCTGGTGCATGCCGTCTCTCTCCTCCTTTATAGTCCTCCTCTGCCAATCCCAACTCGGCTGCCCACACGCTGAGTACGCTGCTCTCCTCCAATCAGGAGCAGGTCCTGCTGTTTATTGGCTGAACTGGAGGCAGCTGGGTAGAAGCTGTTTACTTCTCTCCCAGCGCCATATTGTGGGAGAGCAGATGCATAGAATAAGTCTTAATTCCAGTAACTTAGTCCAGTCCGGATTGCTCCCCACAACTTATCTTTATTTATTTTAAAGGAAGAGGGAGAGAGAGAAACAGAAACAGACACAGATCTTTCATTTGCTAGTTCCCTTCCCAAATGCCCCTTATAGCAGGCCAGACCAAAGCTTGGAGCCAAGAACTCAGTCCAAGTCTCCCACACGGTGTCAGGGACCTAAACACTTGAGCCATCACCTGCTGCTTCCAGGGCCTACATTAGCAGGAAGCTGGAATTAAGAGCAGAGCCACACCAAAAAAAAATGACCTAAATGAAAGATCTCTGTGAGATCCCAGTGGAAAGAACGGGCCGGCAAAGAAGGAGGTACCTTTCTCTGAAGGGAGGAGAGAACTTCTACTTAGATTATGGCCTTGTCTAAATAAGGTCGGAGTTTGTGAACACATGAGGCTTCCATAGCCTTGGCAGCTCATGACAAGAGCCTCCGGTGATTACTGACATCATAAATAAGAGTGTTAACTGTTAAATCAACAACAGGAGTCACTGTGCACTTACTCTCCATGTGGGATCTCTGTCCTTAATGTGTTGTATTATGTGAATTAACGGTAAAACTTGTATTCAAACAGTACTTTATACTTTGTGTGTCTGTGTGGGTGCCATCTGTTGAAATCTTTACTTAGTATATACTAAGTTGATCTTCTGTATATAAAGATAATTTAAAATGAATTTTAATGAAGAATGGGATGGGAAAGGGAGTAGGAGATGGGATGGTTTGTGGGTGGGAGGTGGTTATGGAGGAAAAACTGCTATAATCCCAAAGTTGTACTTTTGAAATTTATATTTATTAAATATTTTTCTAAAAAAAAAAAAAAAAAGCAGAGCCAGGACTCAAACCCAGGCACTAGCATATGGGTTGCAGGTATCTAAAGTAGTATCTTAACTGTTGTGCCCCATATTGGTCTTTTAAGTCATGAAACTTGCCTTATCAAATAATCATGTTATTGGCTAATAGCTTCCCTCAAGTTGCTTTTAAAAAATGAAATAAAATTCTATAAAGACAGAGAATCGGGGCTGGCATTGTGGCAGAGTGGGTTAAGCCGTACGGGTGCTAGTTTAAGTCTCAGTTACTCTACTTCCTATCCAGCACCCTGCTAACGTGCCTGAGAAATCAATGGAAGATGGCCCAAGTATTTGGGTCCCCGTTAACCATGTGGGAGATCTGGATAAAGATCCTGGCTCCTGGCTTCAGCCTGGCCATTGCAACCATTAGGAGAGTGCACCAGCAGATAGAAGATATCTCTCTCTCTCTCCTCCCTCTCCCTCTCTCTCTCTCCCCTTCTCTGTAACTATGCCTTTCAAATAAATAATCTTTAAAAGAAACAGAGAATCACTATCGTTGCTCCTGTTATTTCCAAATTAAGAGGGTATTAATGGAGATGAGTTCCAATCCTGATAAACTAATTCATTCAAAACTCTGTATGCACAGTATGAGCAGTGAGAGTATTAGCATTTACTAAGAATGTGAGATATGCTAGGTACTGTTCTGAAACTTTTGCATAAGTTATCTCATTCCTTTCTCATCATATACTTGAGAGTGCTATTATTTCACACTCACTTGACACATGAGAATTTGAGGTATGGTTGACTAAAAGGCACAAACTTAGGCATCAGGCTGCAGAAATGCCACTTTCAACTGCATTAACAGATGCGCGGTCAGGTGATCAGCTGTGGAGCCCTGCCTCACTAAAAAAAAACAATTTTAAACTATTTTGTTATTTAATTCCCTAACGTTCTAAGGGTGAGAAAGCTATGCAGAGAAAGCAGTGCTATTAGTGGATTTTTAGACTCTGTGCATTCTGGAACTCTGGCTTGATGCACTCAGGTGCAGAATCCATTTGGATGGAACACAAGACTTCTAGCCTCCTACAAATCCTTGCTTTGAGAGCTTCCGCATTTATGAACAAGCATGCACCAGACTTCAGTGTGTCTTTCAAATTGCTCTGTTGGAAACATGACCATGTAATACGGTCAGACTTCATTTGGGCCACCCTTGGCCACTTAGGTACATCAGCAGTGAAAGATCTGAAGGCATAAACTCAGCAGCAGCTTCAAAACCCCCAGCTGGTCCTGGAACGTTAACATGCTCATTATGTGCATTTATTGTGCCCAGGATCCCTGCTGTCCAAACCTACCCTAGGTCTCCAATCAAGAGGAAGTCCTGTTAGGAACACTGCTAATATGACATGACTGGGGACAATAGAGAGTGACATGACCCGAGGTGATGAGGAGAACACGTATGGTTTCCTGACCACCCCCTCCCCCTCTCTGCCAGTTATCTTAATGCGTATTACATCACTGCCTTGGCAGTCACAGACAGAAAAGCCAAAAGATATTTACAAGGCTGCATCTATCAACACCGCCATGGTCCACTGAAAAGCTGTCAGCTTCCACACCGACTCGTCCTCACCGTACACACCACTCTCCCGGCCAGGAGTCTAACCCCAGCAAGGCATCTGCCCAGAGCCCAAGCGCCTTTCTCAGAGACCCACTGGGATGCCCGACAGGGAACAAGAGACTCATCCAAGTTGGCATTTGCTCCATAAAGAGGGAAAGACAGCAAAAAAGAAACAAATCAGATTTCAACCTAGGACCAGGCTAGAGAGAAAATAAACATTGCAAAGAAACAAAACCTGTACATTGGTGCCTGTGGAAATACTTCTCCAAAGCAGCTGAAGTGTACCCAATGTCTGGCCCCCAAATACCAAGATTCAGAAAAAGGTCACTTTAAGTAGATACTTTGTTTTATATTCAGAATGATTGTTAATCCTCCATGCAATGTCTGAATTTGCAGCAAGTATATGGGACTATGGCTGAACAATATGCCAGTGTTCTACATGTAGGAAACTCTGTCTATACCACTGTATTGTGTCCAGAGAATAATTCCATAATTTCATCCATGAGTGTCTGATTGACCTAGATATTAGGGAAATGTCTTACAAGCACTAAAAATGCTTTCTCTTCATTAAATAGGAGTAACTGCCTGTCTTCTTCAGAGAACATATTCTATGTAAATGAATTTTTTCACCCAAAATTCACACACAAAATTGCATGTGCAACACTAAAAACAGCACAGTCAATTCTTTTTTGAGGATTAAGGAGCTTATTCTGAGATCGTCCCAAAACTCAGGGATATCATTATCATTTCAACCTGTATTGCGTAAAAGAAATGTAGAGACAGCGGTTGACAGCGGTCCAGAGTGACGAACCAGTGGGCAGTGTCTGGGTCGCAGTCTGGGGAGGATGTCCCTGAAACAGTGAAAAAGAACATCATATGAACTCCTCTCACTTTAGGGAGCCAAGGTGCAAACAAGGTGGGTTTTCTCTTGACAGGTACTGTTACTCACCTCAAATACACCATGAAACATACTCAGAAGCCACGAGCAAGGCCACCCTGAATTTTAAATCCCATGATGGTGATCTGCGATAAAACAGGGTTCCTCTTTAGGCTGATGAATGAGAATTTTTTTCTCCAAAATCATTGTTGTCTTTTAGGAGAAAGATAAAGGCAAAAGACATAACGTAATGAGCTCAAAAATGGATTTTCATTTCTAAAAGCAAAAATGTGCTGGGTCAACAGAATTGCTGTAGAATTGGTTATGTGAAATGTGGTTATAAATGAATAAAGAAACCAATAAGATACGGCTATCCCCATTAATGATTAAATTCTTGTCCTTTTTGATCTTGACTCTGACAATTAGTATTTCCTTCCCCATCAGATAATGGAGACTCTAGGCAAATTTCCAAAGAGTTAAGGAACGAGGTATGTTTCAAGGAAAAGAAACAGAGAAGAAGAAAAGGAAAGTGAGAGACAGGAGAAAGACTGAGGCAGAGAATTAACAAAGTAAAGTAGAAAGTTTTTTAAAAAGGTATTTTTTAGAAGAGTTTCCAGGACTTGAATTAAGTATGGCATTAACTTTTTCCCACCAAGTCTTAGTCTTGGCAGGTTTCTGCTAAAACGCAGGAATTTCATGGATGTGGGAACTGGTGATGGGAAAATGCATTATTATACACAATTGTTGTACTTGAGAGAAACTATATGGGAAAAAATAACACCCTAGAATAAATACAAATGAAATTCATGTATCAAAACCAATAGTGTGAAAATAGTTTAAATGTTTCTTGAATTTATATCTAGTCATTAACCTAAATGCAGATTTTAGTTCAAGCCACACTTCTGCCTCATGGTCCAAAGGTCTGAAAACCTGTGGCGTGGAAAATTGGCAGGATAAAGAATATTGAATTGGTCTCCATGGAAAAGCAGATTTTGGCAGCCATAACCTCCTAGCCGAGCAGGTCTCTCCCCCTCCCTTCTTCTTCCTCCCTGTTCCAGTCTTGTCCCAGGAAAGAGGCTGCAGGAAGGCCACGTACTGACTAAAACAGCAAGCGGGGGCAGACCTGACCACTTACCAAGGGACCTTTCACATTGGCCTTGAGCCTCCCAGTCAGGGTGAGCTTCCGAAGCATCCCCGCCCCGGACTCGTCCTCTGAGGGCACGGAGGCTGGGGCTTTCCATCTCTACGGACTTCCTCCTGCCCCACCCAGTGACACCACAGCAACCTACAGCTCCCAGATGGAAATGACAGAATCCTTCCCCCCAATCCTGAAATCTCGATGCCTCTCTTCCCCCCACCCCATCCTGTTTTGCCCCCATATTCTGTCTGTTTGCCTCAAGGAAAGTAAACATTTTCTCCGAGTTTTATTTAGCGTAGAGGACACAATCCAAGGACTTCTCCAAAAATCATTTCTATACCTGGGAAGAGTCTAACAGTCTCGGCTCAGGCTCGTTCCCTCCCGGGCTGGCCTGAAACCCAAGCTCACCTAAGCACCTCCTTCCAGCCTTGATTCCATCTTCCCCCAACCCCCAAGCCTCAGAGGGAGGATGCACCAGCCCCCTCCAGTGGGTCCCAGGCCCTTTGCATGAGCCAATGGGGGCAAGAACGACCTCTCCCGAGTGAATGTTGCGTCCGTGTGCTGTGCCTGTGCCTCTCAGTGGTTTTTACCCTGATCTTTTCTTTCTTTGCAGCTGGTTAATAATCCACTAGCAAGTCAGGCTGCAGCGGCTGCAGCAGCAATGGGCTCCATAGCCAGCTCACAGGCCTTTGGCAATGCCCTCTCCAGTCTTCAGGGGGTCACAGGTCAACTAGTTACTAATGCACAAGGACAGGTGAGTGGGAGATGGGAACAAGAGTGAATTTTTATGGCAGATTGAACTCGGAAAGGAAATGAATTTCTTTTGCATGACAGTGATATGTAACCGCATCTATTCCAGGCAAATAAATAATGTTTACTAGCAATGTCAAGAATAGGAGAAGGGTTGGGAGGTATTTCTATATTTTAGAAGCAAGACTTTCCTTTCCTTCCCCCAGACTGTCAAAGTTTTATTTTGTTTTTATTTCTATACAGTGACTCGTGTTGTGAACTTAATTGAAAGAGCTACCTTTCATTACCTGAACATTTTTTTAATAGAGTCAAATTTTTCAAGTGAAATTGTAATTTTGCTTCTGTACGTTTTGTTCTTTTTCAAAATTTGGATAATGGGGAAAACTGGTAAGTTTCCATCCCTAATTGCCATACAATGTCTAAAGCAGCCTCTATAAAGCCAGTTTCTGAGCGCATGGGAAGGCGATGAAGTCCAGTAGAGCAACAGAGGAACAGGAGGAGTTAGAATGAAACCGAGTGCAAGTCAGCCCCCTGACTGGGCCTCCTGCTGATTGTCACAGAAGCTAGGGGTCTCTTGCATGCTTGTAGATTTCCTTGAGTCTGTCAGAGCCAGTAAACCTTCCTCATGTCAGGTTCCCTTCCGCCACTCATGTGCCCACGACACGGTCACTAAGATAATGATAGCGCTTCTGATGACCCCACAAACCTAAAACCTGCATAGAAAGCACACAAGAGTTGGAGCTGTTGAGGTCCAAGCAGCCTGACGCAGAGCCCAGCCTTGGTGAGTAGGGCACTTGTTTCTCCAATGCAGCTGTTAATGGCCACAAAGCACAGCGGGAAAAGAGCTTGCACCCCAGGGAAGATTTTTCTCTCCCAGAGTTATTCCCTCAGCAGTGTGTTTACGTGCTCCCTGCTTGGACTGCTCTGTGGAGGGCAGGAATTGCGATGTCCTGAACCCTGTTTTTATTTTACATAAAGAGTAAACAAAGATGCATTATAAGCTAAACCGTCTCCATCTACGTCCCAGGGAAAAAAAGCTGACCTTGTTATATTTCCTGGGCGGGCGCAGGATTGTCCCGTCAGAACCCCAAGGGCTGAACGATGGAGCTTGTCAAAGAGAGGCCCCATGTAATGAATCATCTGATCACAGGTGCACACCACACATATTAAAGGAGGGTTCTGTGAACACTGTGCCCTCTACAGTAACCTTTCAATGTCTGCTTTAACCCTTGTTCCAATCCCTTTTCATCAAAGGATCATTTTATGCAGCAGGCTCTAAATGGAGGCTCTCAAAAGCCTATTAAGATTTCTGGAGGGATGGGTATTGGTGTGCAGGAAAAGTTGGTTTTAATATCTATAACTCATTCTCCCTTCAGGTCAGTCCTAGAAGCTGCTCCCTACAGCTGTGCTCCCAAATAGAACATCCTGCTTCATTCTTGCCAGGTAGTTGGTCCCTGAGATGTAAATTTTAATGGTCCAAGGTAAAAACACCACCCATGAATGGGTATTTCCTCCCTCTGATTTTGCTGTTCCAACACCCAAATAAAATGCACTGTTATGCCCTACCCTTTGAGTTCCTGTGATGGAGAAAACGCTTTGTTAAAGGTATTATTAGGAGTCTGTTCTGATGATTTCATAACTGATCACTTTGCCAGTTACGAATTCTTAGGTGCTAGAGTTGCAACCTTTGCTTCATGTGGTCTTTGCTAGCCCCGATCTCGTAGTTAGCTCTCCCAGTCCATAGGTATCCGTAAGAAAATGGTCTTTGACGTAGAGCGGTTATTACTGCACATACAGTGAAAAAGAGATGCTTTTACTTTAAAATTTTGATCTTAGATATTGTGTTATGATTGTTTGATGGATAGACAAGCCTAACGTGGAAAACAATGACACTGACAAATGTATCAGTAATACCAACCCATGAAGTCTTGTCTGAGTTTCAACACATGCATCCAATTGGGGGGAGGGGTCACATCTTCTTCCTTGTGCACAAAGATCCCAAAATTTGCTCACACTTGTGTAGCACGACGACTTGGAAAGGGGTGCGTCCTGCATCTGTTGGCACGGAGATGTCTGTGGAGTTTTTTCAAGTAGAGGTGAGCACCTATGGTCAAGTTAAAGAGGACAGAAGTGGGGGGGGGGTGCGTGCACGTGCATGTACGCTCTTTTGGTTTGTGTCAACCTGGCCAAAAGGTAAAGCGGCACTGGACTCAGATTCATACAATTAGCCCTGCTCAAAATACTATGTCAATTTCAATCGATACATTCAATCCATTTCCAATTCCTTAAAGATCGCCACTGAGTTTTCCCCCAAAAGGGTAAGAGATTCTTTCACTGGAATTCTTGACATCAACTAGCTTTTTACATTTGAAAGTTCGCCCAAGGGTAGAAACAATAAAATCTAAGCCAAAGTTTAGAGAGCACATTTTCCTGCTAGCTTGGGGAGCGTAGGTCTGAGGAGCAGTCCATTGTTAGGAAGACCCTGACCTTAGCTTCCCATCTGCTGGTTTCTCTGGAAAGTCAAAGCCTAGTAACTAAGAGCCTCAGCTTTGACTTCGGACCCAGCTGGCATTAGGTTTAGGCTTCGCCTCTTTCTAGCTTTAGAACCTTGGGACAATGCCTTACCCCACCCAAACCACAGCCTAGTCTTTAAAAGCTTACATGGAACCTTTGAGCGGTAGATGCCTGTGGCAGCAACTAGCACTAGAAAAGTAGGGGCCCGAGGTCTGCCTTCGCAGCCAGGCAGTCCCCACCCCACACAGGGAGACATGCCAGAATCTTCCTTCAGGCTCTTTGCCTCCAGCTCTCAAGGGGAACAAGTCCCACCTGGGACTTGTAGTTTTGCATCCCTGTCTTGGCATTTGACTTTTCTTCCATTAACTGGATCTCAGTAAATTTAAAGAGCTGGAAATTGATCTACTAAAGGATATTTTTCCCTTGTTTCTGTTTTCCCAACCAGAAGTTAGGAGCAAATATGGCAGGAAAATGTCAGTCATTTTTATATTTTTCTAACCTTGCTCACTCATGTGCTGTTAATTCAAAGGACAGATACTCTTCAATAGAATAATTTTAACAGAAATATTACTTCCTAAATTCACAAAGCACATATCTCACCCAAGGATATTAAAGCATTTCAAAATTATATCAAACCCATTGTGTCTACAAAGCACATTGAATCTGTTAAAAACTAATTAAAAATTAAAGTAAAAACAAAATTATATCAAGCCCAACTATACTCTGAGGTGAAAAGGGAGCAAGTACCCTTCAGGTAATTAGGGGCCATGACAATGGCTATGCATGGCATTACTGAAGAGAGGATCCTAGGCCTCTTCACTTACTGGATCAGGAACTCCTGCAAACGTGGGAGTCAAGTAGAACAAGACCTCAGTGTGGACTTGTTTGAACCCCAGGTTGGCCTTACGACCTTCAGCAAATTAAGTTCTCCGAGCCTCAGTTTGGCTAACAATATAACAAGAATATTAAAATCTAATCTCTAGGTTGTGAAGATTAAATAAATAGTATGTTGGGGGGTGTCTACCATGCCATCTGAGTATACAATTAAAGACTCAGTAAGTAGTTGCCATAATTATCATCATCATCATCATCTTTATTTCAAGCTTTGTCTGAGATTTTCTGGAAACCTGTATTTGGTAGGGATACACAGCAGGTGTACATACATAGGCAAAGAGAAAGGGTGCTGGAGACAACATTGCCGTTCTCCAGCTGTGAGACTTTGAGCAATTTCCTCTCCTCTCCTCTCCATGCCTCAGTTTCCTCATTGGAATAATGGGAATAATAATGGCACCAGCTCCTAGGATTACAGTTCTTAGGATGGGGTCAGGCACATTATGACAAAAAAACAAAAACGCTAAAGCTCAATAAATGCTGTTTATCAAGATAATACAGGTTGCACATCCCTAAATCCAAAATTCCACAATCCAGAATCCTTCAAAATCTGAAACTTCCCGTGGACCAATGTGACATCCCAAGTGGAAAATTCCACAGCTGATATGGGATGGTTCAATATACACTAACTTTGCTTCATGCAGAAAAATATTTAAAACATTGTATAAAGTTACCTTTCCATGTGTAGTTCATGTATATATGAAATAGAAGTGAATTTCATGATTAGACATGAGTCCCACCCCAAGATAGTTCATAATATATATGCAAATATGACAACCCCCTCAAAAATAAACAGCCCAAAACACATCTAGTCCCAAGCATTTCAGATAAGGAGGGCGCATAAGTGTCGTGTGTATATCACCGTTCACACAACCCCGCCTATGCCAGAGTTTGCATACTGAGTTATTTTAGGAAAACATTATCCTTATGTTGGTCTGGGGTGTGTGTGTGTGTGTGCACACATGCACATATTCTTCACACTCATTGAGTGGCTATGTTCAGGATTTGCCAAGTAGATTTACCATCGATTTGTTCAGCTTTGGAACTGCCTTTCTTGGGCCCCTGGCAATATCTCCTTATTGGCGTTATTGCAGAAAAGTAAAAGCAAATGAAATTTTGTTTTGTCCTAGAGCAGAAGAAAGCATTTTACATTTTAACTGAACCTCAGAATGTTTCCCAAAGAAATCAAGTCCTTGACCACATGAAATTTTTTTAAGTGACTGCAAGTAAAGTCAAAGACCTCCCTTTTGTCTTTTATGGCTCAGTCATGTAAAAAAAAAATCACCTAAACAATATTATTTTTTTAATGTATTAAAGAAAAACAAAAATAGAGACTTACCCATGCAGGTTATTCAAAAAATACACCTACCTGGGGCAGGGATTTAGTCTAGTGGTTAAGATGCCAGTGAAGTCTCCTGCATCCCACAGGTTGTCTGTTTATAATCCCTGTGAAGAAGAAATAAACAGTATACAGTGACTCAAAGTAAATGAGGTTCATTACATATATTTAGCCAAAGCCAGGTGATGGGGAATTTAGAAATCTTCATGTAAATTATTTTATTTCATTTGTAATAATGAAACACTAAATGTATAAAAAATATAAAATATAAGACACCTTGTTTAACCAAGGACTAACCAATGTTAATATAGATATAATAAGTTTCAATGATAAAACCAGTGAATTCTTTTCATGCAAGTTTTTCACTTTTACTATAAAATATTAATTTTTTAAAAATCAAGATTCAAAATATGTAAAGAGTGATGCTGCCTTTTAAAATACCAAAAAAGCAATACAATCGTAATCAAACATGGGTTGTTGAAAATTAAGAGTTGGTATCTGTATGATCACAAATATTATGAACAATCCATCTATGTAATATGCTAAGCTAATGGTCTGAATCATGTTTTCTAAACTGAAAATCAAAACAATCTGAAAAAGATTTTTTCATTTGCAAATGTCATGATAGGAAGCTTTTCTGAAAGGTATAAGATGTAAATCACATTCAATGAACTATTATTTCAAGTGGCTTTTTTGGGAGGGGAATGGAAGAACATTTTTAAAATCAGTTCTTTCTGGAGACTGGGAAATGTGTGTTCATGGGGTTAGGAACGTTCCAGGAGTTTTACCCTGGCTTCCTAGGAGTGATGAAGATAAAGCACTAGCAACAATGAACCACCGTGATCTTTTCTACTAACATATCTCCCCTTAGAGCCCAGCTCAGTGCTTTCTTTCCTCATTTCAGGAAAAGTAATTGCATTCATGCAGTGTTTCCCTAAGTGTGCTCCTCGAGAAAACACGGAGTCCCTCCTGAAGCTCCACACGCGAGGGTGCCCTGGTCACAGGAGACTTGCGTCCTGCAGGCCAGGGCCCCGCAGGTTCAGCGTCACCAAAGGGGCCAGCAGGCAAACCCGTTAACTTTGTCAGTTCATAGTGCAGCAAGTCCTGCACACTGTTTCCGTCCACGGGTTTCAATGCCAAGTGATTATTTTGCAATTAGAAAAGAGATTTGCTTTTTGCAACAGGGGGCTTTGCAGAGCTGTTTTGAGGGCACGCAGCTGCTTAGCACCTTTGTAGAAATGCAGAGTTTCAACCATTCCAAGAACTCCCAAGGATAGGGATAGGAAAACGGAGGGCAAACCGGGGCGCTGCAGACCTGAGGCCCTGGTGGAGGCGGCGCTCTTTGGCGCTGGGTAATCTACAATGATTGCTCAGAGGTGGCGTCCTGAGCCAGAAGGAGAGAGCAGGGGTCTGGCCCAGGGTCCTCACCTCTTTGGTTGTGGGGCGCTCTGCAGGTCAGTGGTGCCGTGCAGCCCCGAGGCACGGCCACTCCCCGGCCCGGGCAGGGCAGGTGGGCACTGGCAGACTCAGGACACCATCCCTCACTGTGACTACAAATTGTTCCACACTTTCACTGCTGCTCCACCCTTCCACCCCTCCACCCCAACCCCCATGTCTGAAATGAAAGGGTTCATCGCATCACTGGCCCAAGGAGCTGAAAAGAACACCCCCTTCCAAAATCTTTGTCTTTCCTCCTTCCCCAGCAAAACAGCCTTGCAACCTATCATGTGCAAAAGAAGGGGCGGGCAGGGATATCTCCAGTGGGAAACACCAAGCAGGGGAGAGAGGACCATGGTCTCTCACCCAAAGCACAGCCCTTGTGCCCTCCCACTGTTTCCTTGGCTGCCACGCCTCTGTTTTTATTCTTTGTTTTCCTAAGAACAGGAAAGTGTTTTCTTGAGTAAGCTCTTGAATCAAGACTGTTGTCACCTTCTCCTATCTGATAGGAGAGGGACCAGATTACCTAATAAGCTGCCTAATCACCAGCTATCTTCCTAAGCAGGTAATAAGCTGCTATTTACCTGCTGCTCCTCAGAGCCAGTCTGGCTTCTTCCATCTCTATGTCATTGCCATAGTCTGTGTTCCAAGTACCAAGCCTCATTGTGGCTTTATGGCAAAATGCTATGCCTAACTGAAAATTCACGTGGCTCATTTCAGTAAGAAAAGCCCTTTAACCATTTTAATTTTTGTAGCAGTGCTAGGGTTTAACTGAGTGTTCCTTTAAGCCAAGTGATTTCTGGGAAACACAATGTCCCAAGGACGGGGTCTTCACTGTGGAGCTGGCTCCACCTGTAATTCCCCCTACTTGAGCTCATTATCTGAGAGTTTTGCAGAGTTGAGTGACTTCTTATAAGTGACAGTCCACCCTGTCATCCTGTCCCACCCCAATTCTCTCCAGGTCAAACCCCTCCTCGTTTGTCTTCTGGCTGCTCCATAGACAGGAGGTCCACACACTCCAGCACCTGCATTTTTTCTCCATCTGCAGATGAACACTGTAATTCCTGCCCTACCAACCTCAGAGAGCTCATGGCAAGATGAGATCCACACACTGGAGAACTGTGAAGGGATGCAAACCTGATCACATGAACATAGGATGCTTTCACTGGCATTCTCACCATTAGCATTGTCACAGATCCAAGGAACCAGAGCAGTAGTCTCAGGCACAGAGACACTCTTGAAAATTCAATCTCAGAGCCGGCGCCGTGGCTCAATAGGCTAATCCTCCACCTTGCGGCGCCAGCACACCGGGTTCTAGTCCCGGTTGGGGCGCCGGATTCTGTCCCGGTTGCCCCTCTTCCAGGCCAGCTCTCTGCTATGGCCAGGGAGTGCAGTGGAGGATGGCCCAGGTGCTTGGGCCCTGCACCCCATGGGAGACCAGGAAAAGCACCTGGCTCCTGGCTCCTGCCAGGATCAGCGCGGTGCGCCGGCTGCAGCGGCGGCCATTGGAGGGTGAACCAACGGCAAAGGAAGACCTTTCTCTCTCTGTCTCTCTCTCTCACTGTCCACTCTGCCTGTCAAAAAAAAAAAAAAAAAAAGAAAAGAAAATTCAATCTCAGAACTCCACTTCCTCTTGCCGGAGAAAATTGGCCTCAAGGTGTCATGGCCTGGGGGATCATCTGTCTCCTGCCTTGGGGCAAGTCACTGGAACTTTGCGGAAGGAAGTGCATAGTGTGCATTTCCACAGGTGCCAAAATCCCGCGGCATCTGCTGTCACGCTTTGCAGCAGCAGCACCCAGAAAAGTGACGTTAGGATTAACTAGGCCCCTGATGTGGTGAGGCCCATATATTTCTAGATCTTCCACAGTTGCCACTCTAAGGAGGCAAGCACTTCTGAAGAAAAAGAGAAACATCTAGCACTGTATTTGGAGCCTAAGAAACCACAGATTTTAAATTATGCTTAAATTTACACCAATGATTTTGGGGAGAGGGGAGAAAAACACTAGCATGTTAAATACATCAAATGTTGAGGCAGCCTAATTTCACAAACATTAATAATGTAAGAAAAGTACTAAAATGTTGTGATTAAAGGAAGAGTTCCAATTGCAGAAGTATGTTATTTGTTTGATAAATAAGCTTAAACAAACCAATATCAGACAAACTAGTGTGTGTTTAGTAAACAGACAGGAGTAGATGCTAGGTTTTACAACTACAGAATGCATTAAATTTGTTTTGCATTCATGGGCAAGAAAAGGGAGAAAGTGCCAAATTTGGGGCTAGCATCCCTAGGAAAACATGAGCTCTTTCCATAAACCAGTTTTACAGTTCAACAGAGCATTATCAGACAGGGGAAAACATCCCACCTCCAAAGACAAGTTCAGTGCATCATTTACCACCCCATATGCCGAATAACACACCCAACTTCCTTGCTGATCCACATGATGCACACCCTTAAAGATGTCATCAGCTCATGGGGCCAGCAAGAAAGAAGTGAGAAATAGATCAAGACCAGAAAGAATGGAAAAGTCACAATTCAGTACAGCAAGAAGAGTGAGGTTCAAGGTCAGATGTACAGAGGCAAGCTTTTGTGTGACCCAGTCAAGTCTAATAGCCACAGGATGCTGCGCCAAAATGCCACTTATCTCATCCACTAACCTTTTCCAGTTGTGTAGATGACAATATAAGTAGATCCTGAGAAGTTGCCATGAGGTGGAGAGCTCAGAAAGCAGTGAAGTCAGGACGGGGACGCCTGTATACATTTCAGTAAATGCATTCACCACGCAAAGCCCAGCAGGGGAGCGGGAACTGACACACTCCCTAGATCAGATATTTGCCAATAGAGATTCACAATAATCCAGTCTTGTTGGAGTAACAGAAGTGGGCATTGCAGATATCCATGTATTCACAAAGTACAAAGGACACAGGCTTTCAAATCAGGCAGAGAGAGATCTGAATCCTGACCCTACCGACGAAGCTGTCCAATCTTCCTCTGCTACCGTTTTCTTTTCCATGAAATAATGACAATATCTTTCTCTTCAGGTTGTTAGGAGGCTTACTATTATCAGCAAACATCAAAATTATTACGATTTACTGAACACTCTGTGTGCCAAGCCATGCTTAGCACTTGATGGGTTGCACCACCACCATACAAATTGGCTTATCCCCACTGTAAAGTTTAAGGAAGTTCCAAGCTCACACAGCAAGCAATGGCAGGATCCAATATAGTAATACTTTTCGTTTTCTTTACTGATGTTGATGTAGTTCAAGAGGCTAGACTAGCTCCTAGCATGTAGTAAGCACAAATATTGTAATAAAATCTGTGATCTGAATGAATGGGATGGGGTATAGTCTAACATGACATTCAATATGCATTTTGCATAAATTCATTGTTCATTTCATTCTCACAGTGATCTGGCACCGTTATATCTAATTTACAGCTGATGGATGAACTGGAAGCTCAGAAGAGTTAGCCAGCTCTCCAGAGCTACAGAGTTAATAAACGACAGAGCCTGGATTTAAGCCCAGATCTGGCCACTTCAAAGCCCAGCTTTCCTCTGAGTGAAGTTGGTTTCAATACAATATGTATAAGTGCCTAATACAGTGCTGGCCAGATAGTAGTTATTCCATAAATATAATGCTTTCTGCACCCACATATATATTTTATCCATTT